GGGATAATCCTGGGAATGGGGCGCTCCTGGATGGGGATAATCCTGGGAATGGGGCGCTCCTGGATGGGGATAATCCTGGGAATGGGGCGCTCCTGGATGGGGATAATCCTGGGAATGGGGGTGGTCCCGTTACAGGGTTCCTTCTGGGATTAGGGTGCTCCTGGGATTAGGGTACTCCTGGGATGGCGATGGCTCTGTTATGGGAATCCCTCTGGGATGAGGATGCTCCAGGGATGAAGACGCTGCTGGGATAGGGATTTTGCTGGGAACAGGATGCTCCTGGGCTGGGTCTGCCCCTGGGGTCGGGATGGGGATGATCCTCGAAGGAGGATGAGGCTGTTCCCGCAGTGAGGACACTCCTTGGACAGGGATTTTCCTGGGATAAAGGAATCCTGAGCTGGGCACGGAGCTTTGGGGGCTGCCCCCTTGCAGAGGGGCTGCGCAGATCCCGGGAAATCCCTGCCGGGAGTGGCGGGGGGATGCTCCGGGAGGATCCGGTGCTGCGGCACCGGGAAGTGACGGTGTAGAAATGGCCCCGAGGCTGCTCCAGCCGGGCCTCGGGGCTGAGGAATGAGCAAAACAAACCCCGCGGCACTGCAGCGCTGCGGGAGGCACGGAACCGATCAAATCCGGCCCCAAATCCCTCTGGGTTTGGGAAAGGAGCCGCTCTGACCCCCCGGCTGTTCAACAGGGTCCCGCCGGCGGGGTTTTTATCCCGCACGGATGAATTCCCAGCGTGGAACTTTGGGGTTTGCAGGCGTGGGAGTGCYGTGGGTTGAGTGGGATCGGCTCGAAGGCAGCCCGCGGTGGAGCGGAGGGGATGCTCCCACTCGTTGGTTTTGAAAAGAYCTGGGAAAAGTGGAAAATGTCCCCCGGGCAGCCACGGGATCTGGGATGGAGCCCCTTATGGTGGCACCCGAGGTGGCTGCGTGGCCCTGGAGGTGGCACCGGCGCGGTCAAGGTCAGGTGGAAGCTGAGAAACAGGGCCAGGAGTGCCAGGCTGCTGCCCTGCCTGCAGGCATCCCTTCCTGAAAGGCAGCCAGGGGGAAAAAAATCCCTGTTCCCATGGGAAAAAAATCAGGGATCACATCGGAAAAAAATCCTGGATCCCAGAGCAAAAATCATGGATCCCATAGGGAAAAAAACCTGGATCCCATAGGTTTTTTCCTATAGTAAAAAATCCTGGATTCCATAGGAAAAAATCACAGATCCCATAGGAAGAAAATCACGGATCCCATAGGAAAAAAATCACGGATCCCATAGGAAAAAAAAATCACAGCTCCTATAACAAAAAACCCCGGATCCCATAGGAAAAAAAAATCCCAGATCCCATAGGAAAACACTCCTGGATTCCATAGGAAAAAAATCATGGATCCCATAGGAAAAAATACTGGATCCTATAGGAAAAAGTCATGCATCCCATGGGAAAAAAAGTCCTGGATCCCATAGGAAAAAATACTGGATCCTATAGGAAGAAGTCACGCATCCTATAGGAAAAAAAGTTCTGGATCCCATAGGAAAAAATTGTGGATCCCATAAGAATAAAATCCTGGATCCTATAGGAAAAAAATCCTGGCTCCTGTAGCACGGATCCCATAAGAAAAAAATCCCAGATTTCAAAGGGAAAAAAATCATGGATCCCATAGGAACAAAAATCCTGGATCCTATGGGGACAAAATCCTGGATCCCATAGGAAAAAATCCTTGTTCCCATAGGAAAAAAAATTCCTGTTCCTGTAGGAAAAATGTCCCCTGTTCCCATCAAATATCCCAGGGCTGGGCTGGCTCTGCAGCGTCGTCCAGCGGCAGCGTCCGAGGCCAAACCCCCATCGATTTTATCGAGCTGGCTGCAATCCCTCCCCGCAGCTCTGCTCACCTTTAATGCCCTGGGAGCTCAGCAATTAATTACCTGCACGGAATAAATCCTCAGAGCGGAAAAAGCCAGGCTTGGCCACTGCCACCGCCACGAGCCGGCCACAATGAGCGGTGTCGTTCATAAATCCTAAAGTTTTCCTTTCCCAAACCCCGCTCTGGAGCTGCTGGTGGCTTCTTGGTCCCTCTGCTGTCCCCAATCCAAACCCGCAGCTTCCCATCCCCRTGAATTTTCCTTCTGTGCTGGCTGGAGATGGATTTGAGGTGGCATCCTGGAAAGGGCAGCTGCCTCGTGTCGGATCTGTGGTTTCTCTGCCTTCCCCGGCGGAAAAAAAGAGGGGAAGGAATAAGTTCTGGCGAGGAGAGAAGTGATATTTGTGCTCAGATATCTGTTGGTGGAAGGGATTTCTGCGGGAGGGGTTGGATCTGTCCAAAACGCTGCTGGAGGAGAGTTCCAGCTCTTYGTGGCTGCTGTCCCACCTCTGCTTGGTCCCGCTCCCGCTTTCCCTGGAAAATATTTCCCTGGAAGATTTTTTTTTTCCCTGGAAAACCCAAGGGTTTCTTGGTTTTCCCTGAAAACCTGATCTGGCTCAGGGCTGGAGGTCGAAGCCTTGACCCCGTTCCCATCTCCAGGCTCACARTTTTGGCTCCTGGCCCAAAAGGCAMGGTCAGCACGAATCCAGAKGCATCGGCCAAGGGCTGATACAAAACCCACAGACAAAAAGATACATCCACAGACAAAAAGCTCCTCCAGGGCTTTGTGCAACTTTGAGGAAGGGAGGTCCCACCATGGGACATTCCCAGTGCTGGGAGCAGCGGGATTRAGACAGGGATATCTGGAGGGGACCCTTAACCTCCCAGTTTCTCCCAGCAGATCCATCCCACTCCGCTGGTTTATTTTTTTTTTTGGAGATCCCTTTCTAGGAAGGGCTGAACACCCAGGTGGGTTTCACCATTCCACCCACACCCACGCAGGGACGACACTTTCCTTCTGAAAGGTCCCTTTTCCAAACTCTGGGGTACATTTCAGTTTAATCCTGGTCTGAACGGTTTCCCAGGCTCGTTTGGGTGTGGGAAGGACTCTGCCAAGCTGAGCTGGCTCTGCTGTGGCTCCGGGGCTGCAGYTGCATCCCTGGAGCAGCCACATCCRTCATTCCCCAGGGCATTGCTCTTCCAAAGCTCCCGGGCTGCTGGAGGGGACCCTGCCAGGCAGTGGCACCCCCTGGATCCCCAGGGACAGYGTTCCAGGCTGGATATTCCCTGGAGTCTGTGTCAGGCATGGATCTGAGGGTGGAATGCTCAGCCTTGCCGGGATCTGCTTGGTGCAACTGGGCAGGGACAGACTCGTGGTGCTGGGATCTGTGCCTGGGATCCCAGCCCTGCCAGATCCCATCGTTCGGGATCCCTGTCCTCCCCTCCCACTGAATTCCATCCCTCAGTATCCCTATCCTCCCTTCTCACTGAATTCCATCCCTCGGGATCCCTGTCCTCCTTTCCCACCCAATTCCATCTCTCGGGATCCCCATCC